CGATTCATTAGATGAGCGACCAGATCAAGAACTTTTACGATCAAAACTTTTTACATCTGGAACAAAACCTCCTGAAATCCGTTAATAGGAAATTAACCAAAATTACATATCAACAGGAGCACGGGGAATGGTCGATAATCAAACACTAATTATCCTAGACCGTGCGCCCGTGAAATATGCAATATGAAGATCCTTCATTCAAACTATGTCCAATATGAATGGGCAATCATAGTAGAATGGAATATAGATGGTTCTATCTGATTACAGAATAAAAAATGTTTTTACAATACATGACTCATGTATGCAACAGCTGTCGAATGCGAGGAAACTCGGTATAAAGAATTAAAAAAGCTAATAGTTGCAGGATTCGTAGGGTCCACTCAAACGGTTGGTGGGATTTTGGGCTCTAAACCCAAGAGGGGTAAGATCAAATTGAAAATGCTGTTTATCCATGGAAGATATAAAGAATGAACAGGCAACAAACACGTCATAGAGAAGTACCCAAAGCGGTAAATACCCTTCTCTATACGATAGAAATTACATTTTATTGGTCCAACATCTATGCAAACTTGAATAGGACCCATGAACAGGTAATGAAATTTACGCTGTCCTCCTGATATGGTCAGCACTTTTAAATGGTAACAAAAGATGTCTTTTTGACAGCTGTAACTAGTTAGAGAAGACAGTCAGTTTGATTTTGGAAGGAAAATTTTTATCTGGCCTTCCTCTTTTATTTGCTGAACGTGTCGCTGTACTAGTTAGAGAAGACAGTCAGTTTGATTTTTGGAAGGAAAAATTTATATCTGGCCTTCCTCTTTTATTTGCTGAACGTGTCCGTACTAGACTTAGGGATAAAAACAATGGTATAATCCCCTATAATACTTATACATATGGAGAGCTAGCATCAGAAGTAGTAGCAGAAGGATTAGCCTTATGTAATGAAATAAAAATACATAGGCAAATGAAAAAAGAAAAACAGTCAGGAAAAAGAATCTTAGGCACTTTCTGTGAACAATTCGGGTATGAACCTATTTGGAAAACTAGCTCTAGGTCTCATAAAGAAAAGTATAGAAAGTCATGGAAACCTAGACGAAAGCATAGGTTTGAAAAGGCTCCTAAAAAGGAACAAAGGGAAAAACCTAAATCTAGTAAAACCCATAAGACTAGAAAAGATAAATCACAAATAGCCTGTTATCGATGTGGCAGAATAGGACATTATGCTAATAAGTGTCATATGAAACAACAAATACAAGCTCTCACCATTGACGAAGAGCTAAAGAAATCGTTACAAAAATTATTAATTAATGAAACTGATTCAGACGAAGATAATACAATTAATGCTATTGATTATACGTCTGAAGATTCAGAACGAGAAGAGTCGTCTAAAGAAAAAGACACTTGTGAAAGACAGTGTGATTATTATAAATCAGTCTGTGTTATGAATGGCGTTTATGTTCTAACAAAAAAGGATTCTCTCATCCTTGATCTAATCGATCAAATTCCAGATGAGAAAAGAAAAAGAGAACAATTAGAAAACTATCTTTCTTTACAAAACGATATGCCATCATCCTCAGCACAACCTCTTCTAAAGAAAGTAGAAGAGACAACACAACCCTATTATGATATTAAAGCTATCTTTGATAAGCTTAAAATTGCAAAGGTTAAACGTGAGCCTACGCTTCAAGAATTACGAAGCGAAATAAATCAAGTAAAGACAGAATTACAACAATTAAGAGATAGAGTTGTCTTTCTTGAATTATTAAATAAAGATGAGCTTGAGTTTAATGAAGAACAAACTCTTACTGCTCCAATTGATAATCTTCAATATGTGAATTTAGTAGATCGGGTCATTACCCAAAAATGGCATACTAAAGTCACTATTGTTGTCCATAAAGAATATATCTTTGATACTATTGCCCTAATCGATTCAGGCGCTGATCTGAATTGCATTAATGAAGGCTTAGTACCATCCTGTTATTTTGAAAAAACAGTTGAAGAATTAAATACGGCTGATGGTAGTAAAATGGGAGTTAAATATAAACTCCAAAATACTGCAATATGTAACAAAGGGATTTGCTTTCAATTACCATTCATTATGGTAAAAGGATTATCTCATCCAGTTATTCTTGGTAACCCTTTTTTACATATGCTATATCCGATTAAACAAATATCGGAAAAGGGAATTGTTACTGAACTCGAAGGTCAAGACATTATCTTCGAATTTCTTACTCAACCGCGTGTTAAAGAAATAGATGTGGTAAAAACCACAATGAAAAATAAAAATCATTTTCTTAATTCTTTATCTACAGAGATTAAGCTAAAAGAGCTAAAACAGAAACTAGATACCCAATATTATTTACCGATTAAAGAAATACAAGGAAAAATAGAATCGACAATATGTTCTGAAAATCCAATAGCATTTTGGGCCAGAAAGAAACATGTAGTTACTTTCCCTATGAACCAGATTTTCATGAACAGAACATTCCCACTAAGGCCTGGCCCATTGCGATGGGGCCTCGCCATCTTGAAATTTGTAAAACAGAGATTGAATCTTTGTTAAAGAAAGGGCTTATTAGGCCAAGCCAAAGCCCCTGGAGTTGTGCTGCCTTCTATATGGAAATTAATGCAGAATTGGAACGCGGAGTTCCAAGACTCGTTATTAATTATAAACCACTTAATAAGGCCTTGCGCTGGATTAGGTATCCCCTACCTAATAAACGAGATCTCTTAAATCGCCTCTATTCTGCTAATATATTTTCTAAATTTGACATGAAGTCAGGATACTGGCAGATTCAAATCGCTGAGCAAGACCGTTACAAAACGGCATTTACTGTGCCATTTGGGCAATATGAGTGGAACGTAATGCCCTTTGGTCTAAAGAATGCTCCCTCTGAGTTTCAGAAGATAATGAATGATATCTTCAACCCGTATACACACTTTTCCATTGTTTATATTGATGATGTGTTGATCTTCTCAGAAACAATTGATCAACATTTTAAACATTTACAGATCTTCATCAATATTGCAACCAAAAGTGGCTTAGTCGTATCTGCGAAAAAATTAAAATTATTTCAAACTGAAATTCGATTTTTAGGGCATAATATTGCTAATCATTCTATCATTCCTATTAATCGTTCAATTGAATTTGCAGATAAATTTCCTGACGAGATTAAAGACAAAAATCAACTTCAACAATTTTTGGGAAGTCTCAATTATGTCAGCGACTTTTACCCACTAATGGCTAAAGATGCTAAGCCATTATTTGACAGGTTAAAGAAAACCCCACCTGTCTGGACTGATGTCCATACACAAGCTGTAAAGAAAATAAAAATAAAAGTAAAACAAATTCCGTGTTTGGCTATACCACATCCTGACGCCTTTAAAATTGTGGAGACTGATGCCTCCAACATTGGCTATGGTGGTATTCTAAAACAACGATTGAAAAATAAAGAATCTTTAGTGCGATTTACCAGTGGAATGTGGACTGGCCCACGAGTCAATTATTCCACTGTAAAGAAAGAAATTTTAGCCATAGTCCTCTGTGTGCAAAAATTCGAATCTGATCTATTAAACCAAAAATTTCTGATCAGAGTTGACTGTCAAAGCGCTAAAGATATTATCTTTAAAGATGTTAAAAATTTAGCATCTAAACAAATTTTTGCTCGTTGGCAAGCAATACTGTCTGTCTTTGATTTTGACATAGAATTTATTAAAGGAGAAGCTAATTCTCTTCCTGATTTTCTAACTCGTGAATTTCTTACAGGAAACAGAACCATCAATGACTTCCAAAAGAAAAATTAGCTCTTCTTCTGGATCGCAGGATCCTGCTAAACCCCGCAAAGACGCTTATGAAGCCAGCGTCCTTGGCAAAAATGAAGATGGTTTGCCCTTACTTAATATTAGCAATTATTTCTTGGTTCCTATAACTAATGAACAACGTTATATGGATCCAGAAGTTGTGGCTAGTATTTACATGAAAAATCATTTTACTCATCCCTATTGGCCTAAAGACTATAATTACTATCAGGCTATTTTGGAAGCGACAGGATCGGTGATCTTTTCACCTACTGTTCGCGGTAATTCCTCTGAATGGGCTTATAGCAAATTCATTATCAAACGTGTTTTTGCTCAAGAAGATTGGGGCCCAGATCTTTTTCAACAAAAAGATCTCCATAAGGTCAGACCTCGCTATTTTAATTATTTTAATTATATCGATGCCTGGAAATATGCTCTTTGTTATGAAAACAAACAAAGAAAATTTAGCTGGTTCATCACATTTAACTTAGCTAAAGAAGAACATGAATTTCCCTGCTGGTTCGAAGAATGGTTCTACAACTGGGGTTTACATCCCGTTGCTATGCCTGATCAAGTAAGAACCGTCTACGAAAAGTTTAAAGAAATAAACAAATCATTAGCTAATCCCAGTTTCCATTTTGCTATCACTTATAAAATTCCATGGATAATTAAATGGGATTATCAAATTATTGTGAAAACCCTGACAAGGACTGACGACCCTCCTATTGAAATTCCTTGGCTGTCTCGGAGGATCCTTCTACGATGGTGGGATAAATGTAACTTTTTTGAACCACCAGCCATTTATGCCAGTAAAGGACCGATTAATTTAACACAAAAATCTAGTCCGTTAAAAAAGAAAAAAGATAATGAAGAAGTAACATCACCTCTTAAATTAGATAAGGTTTTAAAAATAATATTCAAAATGTTAACTATTAGATCAATTAAATATTAATATGCGGCAAAGTGGCCAATCAAAATAAAAAAAATAAAAAAAATTCTAAATTCTAAAAAAAGAAAAATATAATATTGTATAAAGAAAATACTTTAAATATTTTCTTTATTTCAGCTTTTACATAGACATATAGTTATAAAAGTGAGAAAAAATATTAATATAAAAGAATACATTTTACATTATTTTCCCACCTTATTTTTCTTTCCTAAAATTTGTACAGAAACAAAAACAATTAAATTTAAATAACTTTCCGGGCGTCACAAACAACAAATGTTGTCTTTACATTGTTCGGTAATCGATTGCTAAAACCATCATAGAGGAATTTCTTTCTCTTTTTACAAATCTGTATTCACTCACACCAAATTTGTTTTGATTTAGTAACAGTGATGATTGATAAGCATCTTAATGGCAACTGCAGCTTTCAAATCTTCATCTAGAAGACCTACAAGTTCAGCCTCCTCCTTTTCCTTTTTGAAAGAAAAAGAAACCAAGGATCATCCTATTCCTACCTCACCAACCAGAAAGAAACCTACTTCTGCAAATAAATCATCGCCGCCTAGAAGATCAAGAAGCGTAAGCGCTGTTTCAAGATCCAGTGCTGAAGCTGCCTCATTAGATTTCTTGAATAAAAGAGACAATCCTCTCTACTGGAGTTCTGTTTCTCCTCCTGAAAAGGAAAGTTCCGACATTCTTTCTGCTAAGCCAAAGGCTTTGGATTCCGATGATAGGAGAGGAAGATCGGTCTCAAGAAACGCAAATGTTTCCAAAAACAGTTTGGGGAACAAAAAAGACGCTGCTAGGAGTCTGTCCAGGGTGGACGAAGGGCGTCGCCGCTCCTTGTCCCGGGGTCCCGTGGCCAGGACTTATCCCTTCAATTCCGAGGTTGAAATGCTTTATTTATATATTTATTTTTTATTTGTTTTGTTACTGAATTAGTTTTTACTTCTTTCTAAATTTGTTTTTGGGTGCAGAGTGATGTTGAACCGGGAGGTAGTTTGTTGACAAAGTATAGAAATATAAATAGAAGTGATTCAGGTTGGAAGAGTAATTTAGTTGGAAGCAGTTGTGATTCGCTCCAACAGATTCAGAGCTCGAGGCCGCGGTCTCGTCGGTCTGCCTCAAATTTGGTATGTGTGTGTGTATTTTAGTTGTGAATGTTAGCAAATGTGAAACAGGATAGGTTAGTTGATATTTCTCGTTCAAATGTTTTCTCATATAGTCTTCTTCGCCAACATTGAGTTTGGAAGATGGGATTTTGGGAAGCTCATTCTCTGAAGCTAAAGAGAGGACTAGTATAGCAATTTGTGAGCAAACGAAGGTGAGCTTATTGGAGTGTTATGGTTACTTGGTTTGGATATAAAGAACCTAAGCTCACTGTGTGTTCTTTCTAATTGCTTGATGAATAAGCTTGAATGCTTAATTTCATTTTGACACTTATAAAATTTGGATGGTTTGACTGTAGTTATAAGATAGTTTAGTTGCTCTGTTGTGTTGTTTATGCAGTCATTCCAAGACTGTGACTTGGGAGGTGATGCTTCTGCTCACATATATGAAACAGTTAGATCTGAAGTGAGACGTGCTATTGCTGATATCCAAAATGACCTTGAAAATGTAAGTATTAATTGTGAGGAACTTCTAATAACTCCATGTTTCTTTATTTTGAGCAACAAATGTGTGTTTTTTTTTTTTTTTTTTTTTTTTTTTTTTTTTTTTTTTTTCTTTTTTTTTTTTATTTTTGTTTTTTCTTTTTTATTTGGGGGGGGATTTTTCTTATACTGAAGTCATACTGAAAATCATCTCTATTTATCACTGGTATGACATTTCAATTGCTTGCAATGATTTTTCAGGTTGTATGATCCCTTCTCCGTAAAAAAACAAACCTTTTTCTCTAAGCTCTATTGGTGCTTTGTTTTTTTTTTTTTTTTTTTTTTTTTTTTTTTTTTTGTTTTGGAATTCTTATCTGAAGTCATACTGAAATATCTCTTTTACTGGTATGACATTTCAATTGTGCAATGATTTTCAGGTTGTATGATCCCTTCTCCGTAAAAAAACAACCTTTTTCTCCTAGCTCTATGGTGCTTGTTGCAATGCGCACTAGTTGTTAGTGCTTGATGACCTCTTAAATTTTCTTGGGAAGGGTGATCATCTACTGACAACTATTGAATGCTCATGGGACTGAAAATATTAGAAGATACTGTCCATTTTAGATGATAAGGAATTTAGAAATAAAGATTTGGAGTTATTATAGCGGATATCCCTGAACACTGGCTTGCTTTGGATAAAAATCTTAAGTGGCCTTTTTTAAGATTTATAGGCACAAAATAGTTTATGTGAGGACCTAAAGGGCTGTCATCCACTGACTTGAGGCTGGTCATAGTTCACTCTGATGTTCAATAACCCATTAGCTTACACAATTGATACAAAAGGAAAAAAAGCTAAAAAAGAACCTTTAATTGATACTTGAATAATAAGAATTTTTTGGTTGAGTCCTCTTACAAGTGATTACATGTATGACTATTGAATATATGAATGTGATAAATGAAGGCATCATCTAGTATTAGCTTCAAACTATCGAGGAAAGTTTCTTCTTGTTGTGTAATATTTTTTATCATTTAAGGTCAAATTTCTTGAACTCAAATAACACTTTTAATCTCAAAATTCAAATCTTCCATTCTCACATTCTGAATTTTGGACTCGTTTCCCATCTTTTCTTATATGAAAGTGTCTTTCAAAATTTTTTTGTAACTGATTCATTTTTATGCGAACCGAAACCTCATGTGGCAATGGAAATATTTTATGTGAAAATGGAAAGCGAAGCTTCCAATAGTGCCAAGAGAGTTTATACTTCTATTTTAAGGCTTGCTAGTTGCTCTAATAATTAATTTCTTAGATACATGGAAATAACTTAAATGCCATGTTTTAGTCTAACATAAAATATCAGGATAAAGCAAAAAGAAGAGGATTCTGCAAATATTGTTGAATGTTTAGTTAAAGATCTAACTCAAGAGCCAAAACATGCATTATGTTGTAGTGCAGACATGTTTTGTTAGTGAAAAGAGATTAACAGGAAAGGGCCAATATATGCCTCATTGAGCTTTTGAGTATTCCACCATAAGTGGGTGACAAGACCTTTCTTGCTGCACGAACAATTTACATGACCTGATATATTTGGATCACCACATATTTGCTGCAATAATATGGATTAATATGTTTGAATTGATGCATGTATTTTACATGTGGGGAATGTCATTTGAATTCTCTTTCTTTTTTTTTTTTTTTCTTTAAGAGAAACTTTGTTCTATCTTGTTTTTGTGCCACTTCTTTGCTTCATTTTACAATTGATTACTAGCATTAGTTGTTTGCATTGGCTTCTAGCTATTGCAATAAATTGTATGTTTTGACTTTGTATTAGTCACTGATCCAAATGAAGTAAATGGTTAAAATTTTATGCAAAAGATTCTGTTTTATACTTGTGTTAGTAATTCTGTTTTGTACTTGTGTCAGTAAACCTTTTCTCCTCTCTCTCTCTCTCTCTCTCTCTATCTATCTGTGTGTGCCTGCTCTTCCATAATCTACTAAGAACTAACTTCCTGATCTCAGGCTATCCGAAGGAGTAATGCAACTGCCATTGCAACCACCAATGTGACTGATATTCCTCCTGACTTGGTCAACCCAGGTGCGGTTGAATTAGTTTTGGACATCAGAAGCGAATATGAGAATAAGCTTGAACAGGTAATTATTCTCTTGCCTTGAGCTTAGCTCATTACATGATTGAAACAAAATATGCTAAAGAATCAAAATGGAACCTGCCCTTGTAAATTTGCTTACTTGAGAAGGTAAGTTCCCCTTGCGTTAAGCTTATGTGAGGATATGGTGAAGAAAAAGTCGCTTTTTAAAAGAGTCAAAAAATACTGTTGTGAATTTCCTTAATTTTGTTTTAAAATATTTTACCAATAAAGGGATAATTATCATTATTATGTAATTGGTATTTGAATTTTGTCAAATTTTTTTCATTTTCTCAAGTCAACTTTATTTTTTATCAATCATGTGTCTGAATGTCTGGATGCCCTTTTTTTCCCCCAATATTGGCTGGAAATCCTTACCGGAAAACTAAAATTGACTATTTTACGCTATAAATCATACCATGCCTAAACACCTATTCAATTCTCTCTCTCTCTCTCTCTCTCTCTTAACTTTCTATTGTTGTAAATATCCTTTTTTCCATTGAAAATTTTCAAAATATCCCTCTGCTTTTCTTCCGGTTTCTAAGAAAATTTCAACAAAATTGAGAGAGTTCAATAAAAAGAGAAAGAACGCAGCTAAGAGAAATAAATGAAATAGAAAATTGACAAAAAATAAAGTTAAGAGATGCAAAAACATTGACAAAGTTCAGGCACCAAGAATGCAAGTAACCCAATTAAAATTGGAAGCACAATGAGCATGTTTGTTTAGTTATTACATGAAATAGGTAGGTGACTTTAGAATTTCTGACTTTAAGTGATAAGGTATTTGTGTGGCCAAAGATGGGCACTTCTGCAACGGAATTGTGTTCTATTCCTGGTTTTGATAAATTAGAATAAATCTTAATTTGTACCTGATGTGGCATGTCACATTTTAGGTGTGTTATCTTTACCTTTTCCATCATTTTTCTTTTATTTGGTGATTTTTTTTTTTTTTCTAACTTGCAGTCCCAGGCACGTGCTAGGAAACTTCGAGCTGACCTAGCTGTCGAGGAGCACCGTGGTTTAGAGATAAGTAGAATCCTTAAGGAAGTACTCCCAGATCCCAAGAGTTCAAATATGCAGAAATCTCGTCCCAGGAGAAAGGCAGGTTCTTTTGTCAAATCTAGTTGGATTATTTCAGTGTTGTTCCCTTGTTGTGCGGTAGATAAGATTCTATCTTATGTCATCCAAGTTCCTTATGTTTTGTATCCATTTTAATCATTTATTTTCTTTAAGTTCAGTTTGGTTATGAAAATAAATTTCTTTCGTTTTTGATAGATCTAAATTGTTGTTTGTATGGGTCTTGAGAGAGCAATAGAAGTAATTGATATGAACACACTGTAGAAGACATTGAAAAAGTCATATATCTAGGTTAAATTTGTACCAAGTAGTCTATTATATGAACTTTTACATTTCTTTTGCCTTAGGTGAATTCCAAAGTTAAAATTTGATATCTTTTAATGTTGGATAGAATATTATATATTCTTCATAAATGTGTCCAAGCTTATCTTTGTCCATTATGAAAGTGATACTAAAATATGGAATGTTTAAATTTAGCCATGGCTCAAGCAGAATTTATTTCTCTTTGATAGCTTTGGTGGTACTCTTTGTTGACACAATGTTGATTACGAAAGAACTGTGGGAAATGCTAAAATGTGATACACCAAATCTCACATTAGAAACGGATTTTTATGATCTCTATTTAGGGGCCTTAGTGAACTATACTAATGCTTAGGTGTTGACTTTTGGGCCATGTGGTCAGGCCCAGTCCCCCTCCAATTGTTAGGCTGTTGCGACATGGAAGAAATATGACGAAATAATTTTTAGCTCATATTTTGGCCATACTATTTGTGCATGTTCATCATATTTCAAGATAGCTGCATATTTGTGTTCTTTAATTGTTAATTGTTGTAATTAGGTTGATTTTCAACACAACTGGCTTTTGGAAATTTAGAGCGTCTTTCTAACTTTGGTTTTTCGTTCCTTCCTTTCTGATGACAGTCTAGCATTGAAAGAAGGAAGATGTCAAAAAGATTAACCGAAGAAGCTATGACTTATTTTGATGAATGTGTATCGCTTTCAACTTTTGATAGCTCTGATTTCTCATCGCAAGAGGATCCACCTGTGAGCTTAGTTGGCACTGGTGCTCCAGTTGATTGTCCATCATTTGCCCAAGCAAGTACTAGCATTAAAGGCGACCACTTACGCAAGAGTTGGCCTAATGATAAACAGGTCATTCTCTTTTCCTTTTAATTTTCTTTTGAAGAATATAGTTATCCATGTCTGTTCAGTGAAACGTGTTTGTTAGTCAGTCTGCCTGCCAAAAAGCTGGACTGAGCCTGCAGATTCCTTTTTCTTTTTTACCCTTTTCTGGTTGGTTCTAGCATTTGACGTTTACTTTTGGCTGGTTAAAAGCTGATTGGAAGATTTATTATTTGGGAATGTGAAACGGTTACAAAAGCTAAACTATTTAGTTTTGTGCTATAATTGCAATAGTCTGGGGCTTTTGGTTGCAGAGGAGTGTTACACGGTTTTTGAGTTAATGGGAAAAAAAAACACTCTTTTCCAATTTGCAGTTATGGCCTACTTTCACAACCACCAGTTTTGCCTTATTCTATAATCATAAAGTGTAATTTCAACAAAGAGATATAAACCCATTTAATTATTTGTAAAATCAGCTTTCAACTTGACCATTATCCAAGTGCATGTCAAAGAAAAAATAAAAAAGGCGTATTGACTTTAGCCCATCAAATATATAAATAATATGACTTTTCTTATGTAACTTAATTTCATATGTAACTAGATGACATTAGGCGGCTTGGAAACTTTGCAACCAATGACTAAAGCAAATAAGCTAAAATTTACCATTTCCAAAGTATGTGCTAGTTGCAAATGATGAAAACTTAGACTTGTTTAGTAATTAATCCAAATTTTGAAGGACAATCTTTTGCTTTACAACAACTGTGGCATGAAACTATACTTTTAAATTTAAATAGGCTTCTATTCCTAAAGTCTCAAACCCTTGTCTAACCTGTGGTATGATAGAGAGCTTTTCCTTTTCTTCTTTTTTTTTTTTTTTTTTTTTTTTTAACTGTGCATGGAAAATATACTTTAAATTTAAAATAGGCTTCTATTCCTAAAGGCTCAAAACCCTTGTCCTAACCTTGTGGTATATAGAGAGCTTTTCCTTTTCTTCTTTTTTTTTTTTTTTTTTTTTTTTTTTTTTTTTTTTTCCAGAAAATTCTTCTTAAAATTAATGTTTCAGCTTAGGTGGGGGGTGTATTGTCCTCCACTTTGCAAGTATGTTTTTCTTTTATTAATCTGATATACATATACACATACATACATGCATATCTACATATTTATATATAATTTTTGAGTTAGCTTGCTTGTGCATAGTTTTCTGCTTCCTTTCCTGTTTTAATTGGAAAATTTGCTTTCTAGTTTCCATTGAAAAATCCTTTCTAGTAGAAAATATGTTAATTTGTAAAGAGCAGAACAATCTTTTCCATTGAAAAATTGGAAATCCCATTCCATTTGGTACACGTCCACATAATTTACAATTAAGTCTGCACCCTCTTACCCATCATCTCTTCACTGTTGGTATTGTCATTCTTTTCTCTTTTGCGAAGTAACTAAGCTAAAAAAAAAAAAATGAAGACAAGTTAAAAAGCAGACTGGTCAAGAAGAAAAAAGGAAAAGTTGTCCCAATTTGCAATTGATCCAAACATTTGCCACTGGAATGTTGATATTCTTGAACAAATTTCTAAATGCAGCTGGAATTTTCCCATTTTGTTCTTTTTTTTTTTTTTTTTGTTTTTTGGTCCTGTTCCGTGTTAATGAGTTTTTCCAATTTTTTTTCATAACAATTTGGTTTATTGTAGGTAAAAGCACTAAGCAGGAATTAAAGCAAGTCAGAAATAAAATATGAATGCTAAACTAAAATAGAATCTTGATTACTAAAAAAATTTTTTTTTTTTTTTTTTTGGTCCTGTTATGAGTTTTCCAATTTTCTTTTCATAAAATTTGGTTTATGAAGTAAGCACTAAGCAGGATTAAGCAAGTCAGAAATAAAATATGAGCTAAACTAAAATAGAATCTTTGATTACTAAAAATTTAAATGTTGTTCATGCTTTGCAGGAATGGGGCAGTACATGCAGTCATGGTACACCAAGACCATCAGCCACCATCAGTAGTAAGGAGTGTAGTCCTGATGAAATCATTACAAAAACCTCTGAAAGACATTGGGGTAATAGGTTTCAGTTTTCTTTTTCTCACAATCAAAATGGTACATTTGGATTTCAGCATGACATTGGGAAGTATATCAAAAGTTTTGAGAAAGACAGCAAGAAAGTTAATAGCATAAATTCTGAAATTTTAAGATCAAACAACAGTGATCTGGATGAATATAATTTGAAGGCCTCAGCACAAAGCTTGTTATTTGACAGGGTATTTTTTAGGAACCAAACTGAGTATGGTAAAATGTTACTATGCGGTGGTGGTCTCACGATTTCTTTATCGCCTTTTGCCTCTGTAATCTAAATGTCTGTTTTTTATCATGTAAGTTGTGACTATCTTACATCAGTATTTGTCATTCATAGAATTGTACATCAGTTGATACCTAAAAGATGAAGCTGAAAAGAAGCCACCAGCTAGTTTCATTTGTTGCATCTTTGTGGATGCTCAAAACTATTTATCAATAACAGGGGACTGAAAAAATAGTCTGCATGTCCAGGTGATGCCTGAGTTAAAGTTTCCCTATAATTTTTCCTCTTTTTATTTTATTTTTTATTTTTTTTATTTGCTTAATGATTGAAAATTGTTTAATTACGCAGCATTCTTGAATTTTAATGATCTTTTTATGTTATCCTAAAATTTAATTTTGTTATTATTATGCAGGTAATAAAATGTATGCAATTTTATCCCCAACCTCTCATCTGCCCAAAGAACTGCCTAAAGTTGCTGGTATGTTAAGCAAGTTGTTAACAATATGCATGTATTATTTTTGAGAAACTTACCCACAACGTCTATTTACACCTGAACAAATATTCTTAGAAAGCAGGAAGAAAAGAAAAAAGAAAAGAGGGAATCTTGGTTCCTTAGAATTGTGAAAATAAAAAACTTGTAACATCGTGTAATAAGAAGCTCGTGAGAGATGCATGCAGTCAAATGGTTCATTAAACAAAAATGTGCAGAGTTACAAATGAGATCATTAGATTTATTAATTTTTGAGCTACGGTTATTATATTATTACTACTTGTATGCCTTATTATTACTAGTTTGCCTGCATGATGTGTGGCTTAATATTTATAAATGATCGATACAAATTAAATTTGATTGAAAAATGTAAATAAAAATTAATATGATGAAAAAAAAAAAATTGTCATTTACCCTTTTATTATTCTTTGACTATGATAACAAAAACTATTATAATACTAGAAATAATAAATAGAAATATTGTTTTTACAAATTAAAACAAGTACTCTAACTATAAAATTACCTGGATGAAAAAAGAAAAAAACTTAAGGAATCGTTAATCATTGGTGTCTTTTGCACAAGATGTTAATTTTTATCATTATCTAAAAATATGTTGAACATAAAAAAGAAAATAGAACTTGTATGATAAATTTAGGAGATGTAGAACTCAAAAGGAAATTAAGATTTTTTCAAAAAATTAGAGGATAATTAAATTATAAAATATATAAAATGTTATATTAATTTATATTTTAGTTATTAATTATTGAAAAAACTAATTAGCGTTCTATCATTAATGCAAAAAATTTATTATTTGGATGATTAATTAATGGAACAAAGTTTATTGATGAATAAATTTATTATATGGTTATTAATTATTGATTAATTATTTATTATTATTATTATTTTTCCCCACACATATATATATATATACTTCCTTTTATTTATTTGAAGTTGTAGAATTCATTTTTTATAAATATTTATTTTTATATGTACAATAAAAAAGTAACATTTAATACAATGTATATAACAAAATAATAAAATGACCCGCGCAATGCCCTTATATCCACCTAGTTTATATAGAGTACTTCATCCCTTTTGCCACATCCAATTGGAGCTAGAATTATAAAGATTTTGTGTTGTACATGAAATACTAATATGTGCAAATAATTCTAATTAGCCTACTTAGAATATGAATTATTTTCTATTATTTGTTTGAAATAATAAGAGCTAAGCATAAATGAATTTTTGGTATAAATGAATTTAGAAAAATTGTAGAATTTGTTTCTAATCAGAAATTTCTTTTTTTTTTGAAAAATTTGCTTTACAGAAAATACTTTTGAAAAATAAGTTATTTTTTATATAAACATGACAAACAAATAATTGCCTAATTAAAAACAATAATATTGGTTCTTTAGACCGTTGAAGTTATTGTTTCAGTGAAAAATTATACTCGTATCTATATGTTTTGTCAAAAAATAACTTTTTTTTTTGGTAATACAAAAAATAACTAATTTATCCTTCTATTTTTAAAAATAAGTTGGTATATTCTTGGTTTTAAAGTACAAGTTAAATTAAAATCTAACGGTCTAAACATTTTTTTAAAAAAATTGAACTGTCTAAAAAGAGAAAAAAAAATTTACCAAAACACCCTCTCTTTCTCCCTCTTTTTCTTCAAGCAAACAAGTTTGTTTCTCAAATCAATTCCGCAGTTATTACAAAATATAATTACACTTTCATTGGATCCTCCATTCAAACAACCATCAACTTTTGCATATGAAAAAAGAAGATTCTCTTGGCTTTGCATCAAATCAATTATTAAAAAAAGTGAAAATTGTAGCAAAAAAATTAATTTTTTTGAGAAAAAATAGAACAAATAAAAATTTAAAGTGGAATGGGGGTCGTAGGGATGGATGAAAAAGAAAAAATTTTGGGGACCGGTCGTTGCTGATATGGCCTTACTTTCGCTGCAGTGGCGCATTCAAAAGTCTCGACGTATCAGGCATTGAGGGAGTATACAGAGAAGAAGGTTAGTCAGTGGAATGAATCAACAATAATGAACCTGAATTTAAAGAACCAAAAGTAATCACTTGAGTCGTTCTCATTCTATATCTTCAAAATTTCTTAAATTTTAGTTCCAAAACTTCAAATTTTCATGTAATCTTGAAATAAACAGTTGATAGTGAGGGTAGTTTCATTTTTTATTCCGTAAAAAGAAAAAAGGGATTTGGGTTTGGGAATTCACTCGAAAGCGTTGAATTGAGAATTGTGGAGGAGAGCTAGTTGCAGTGGCATTGTGTGGAGAAGAGTTGGATCGGTAGTTTAAGATGATTTTTAATTTTATTTTTTAGATGGAGTCCTTGTTGTTCATTCATAACAATTTAGATGAATGAATATGAGAATATGAAACTAATTTAAAAAAAAAAAAAGACAAAAATATAGGGAAAGATTGGTTCATAAGATGTTATATTTTTGGGTTCATCACAATAATATATAATAATGGATTAATTACTTGTGATGATTGAAACAATTAATTGACCAATTAATTATTTTATGTATTTGCCCGCATATATTTTTTAATCTATAATGCGTTGGACTTATTTGAACTTAGTAGGATAAAGATAGTCAATTAAATATTTCGGTTATCACAATTATATATAAAGACAAAATATAGGGAAGATTGGTTCATAAGGATGGTAGTATATTTTTGTTGGGTTTCATTCACATTAACTGTATATAATATAATGGGATAATTAACTTGTGTTATGATTGAATAAATTAATTGACCCAATTAATTTAGTTTATTGAATTTGCCGCATATATTTTTAATCGTATTAATGCGAATTGACTTATTTTAATTAGCTAAGGATAAAGATAGTCAATGTAAAGAAATTTCGTGTTATCACAATTATATATAGGATTATATATATATATATATATATATAGATTATATATAGTATATATTTTTTGATCAACAATATATATTTTTTTTGAACCAACAAAATAATAATTTAAATATTTCGTGAAGTAAAAGAGTAAAAACTTCGTAATAAAAGTTTGAAGTTATATTGATAATTAGTTGTAACTCCGCGTTTCACACGCTGATATTTAAATATTATTTAAATAATAATAATTATTATTAAATTCTATTTTAAAAAGATGACATTGCAAAAGAGTAAAAGTCTTTTGGTTAAATAATGATTTTTGACATAAAATAATTGATATTTATGTATATTTCTATATTTATCTTCTAATTATACATTGTTAGAGATTATTTCAGTAGTCAAACTTTTTTAGTTATGATATGAGTAACTAATGTATGTAATCATTTTTTATTTATAAATAATTCTGAAAACCTCAAACATTATTAGAACTCAAAAATAAAATTAATTTAAATTTGAACAAAATTTCATTTCAATTTAAATATATATCAATTTAAATTTGAACATATATGCATACACATATATTTGGATATTAATTTAAATATGAATCATCTAAAAATTTAATGATAACTATAATAATAGTAATTTAATTATAATTATACTAATTTGCTATTATTATTGGATAAAAATGGTGAAACATGCAATAACATATTTTAAATTTGTTCTCTAATATAAATTAGTTTTAAGTAATTAATGTAAGAAAGGGATGCAATAATAATAACAGTATTTAAGTACATTAATGTAATAAAGGCATGCCAATACATAATTCATAATATAATCAATAATAATAATAATATAACATAATAATCAATAAATCAATAAATAATAATACTAATCAATAATAATAATCTAATACAGGTATTTCAAAAAAAAAAAATAAAATTTTTTTTAAAAATAATAATAATAATAATTAATTAATTAAGTTATTTCAAAAAAATAATTATAATTAAGTAGCAAAGTTGAGAGTAAATACAAAACCATGGGCTAATGAATTGTTGCACTCTCAACTTTTTAAGTTATTGCAATTTCACTCTAGAATGACTTTTATTCTATAAACACCTCAATTATTACTTTTAGTGACAATTGCACCAGAAATTACAATTGGAATAGATTTTTAAATATAAAAATATAAATATAGGACCCAACTCACGTCTCGAGTTAACTTAACCCAAGACTTAACTCTGCTCGATACGCGTTGTTTTCTTTTCCTCTTCCACACGCATCTCACTCTCTACATCTTTTTATCACTTCCCTTTCACACGATAGTAGTTTCTATTTCTGTCTTTGTAAGATTGCGAAATTAATCAAGTATATCCTAGCCTTCCTATGTAAGATTGCGAAATAATTCTTCGTACATAGGAGCCAGAGTTTGATCCATATGGAAATAATGAGAAAATGGATTTTTTGGGAGCTTTTCTAAGTTAGCTTCGTGTTTTCAAGAGAGAATAAGCTTTTGAGGCATAGTTGTACTTTGTGGGCCTTTTATAGGCAAAAATGAAGGATAATTTGGACAGTTATCAACCATTGTGTTGATAGTGGCGCACGCCACTTCAATACAAGTAGCATAAGAAAGTCATGTTTTGAGTTGCATCATGTCAATTTAACCATAGGCATTCATATCACAAGCATGCACATGATATCACTCAGAAAGGAAGAAGAAATCAACATCTGTATTAATAAAGGAGGCATGATGTTCGAATTCCTTCTACAAAATTTGACAAATTTTCGTGATTTATCCAGTAAAAAGGGAAAACAAGAAAGAAAATAGAAGCAATAAAGTAAAGATCTACTACGACATGTAGAAGGTCGTCTCCTCCGAGTCTTTAGTCTTGTAATCATTGATTTCTTCTACTTCAGCCAATTCGCGGTCGCGTCTGGTGTTGCGACCAGCTCTCCCTCCGCGAACAACCCGGCCTCAACCTCTCGGTGCCATGCTAGCTCTCTGCATTCATTTGTCTTGTTTGTTTGTCTTGTTTTTATGTACAGAGATATGCTTATCGGAGAGCCTCGCCATAGAAAGCTTAAGCCTTATAACTTCTAACAGCTGGCTCATTTCATTGTTCTCTTCAATGGATACTTGAAGAATAAGACAGGGGCATTAGTCAGTAACGAGAGCCAATAAAAAGGAGAAAATAGTTTCCAAGTGCAAAGATTAGACTTACGTTAGTTCAGCCGGGCGGAGACATCCAATAGGGGCTAACTGGGTGTGTACTCAATAATGCTGGCATAAACCATAAAATTTATGAAATGCTTGCTCACAAAGGGGCAGGCCCCTCATCTCCTATAGCTTCTTCTTCTTCTACAATTGGCTCATCATCGA